GCAACTCGTTGTTATTACTAATAATAGCCATTCATTTAACACTCATTAATGATTAAGATGGTGTATCTTATTTCTGAGACCACTGAGCAACAAGGTACCCGTTTTCCACCAGACGTCACCATCACAGGAATGTAATATTACGAAAGAGCTCCACCTTTCCAAGGGTGCAGCAGAAAATACTCTTCAGAGTATGACTATGCACCCTGAGCAGCTGAGCTCCAAATACACCCCTACCCACCATACCCACAGGGGAATGTCCAAAGTGTGTCTCCTCCCTGTCTTGTCAAGCTGGTTCGGTGTCTACGCTTATTTGGAACCTATTGACCCGAAAGCATCTTCTTTTTCTTTTTTTTCCTGAGAAAAATATTAAAGTTCTCATTAACATGTATGCTATGTTCCCTAATAAGCATTAACTTTAGAGTACTGTCTGAACATCAGGAAGCAACTGACTATAAAGGATGAGGCTTTGGGGCCACCAGATCTATGTTTCAATCCCACCTCTGTCAATTAATAAGTATGCATAATGGCCTTGGCATGTGACCTTCACTCTTTGTAAGGGATGTTTGCTCATTTGAGTAACAACGACAATGATACCTAGAGGATGACAATAGAACATGGTATTCTGGAGTCAGTTTTCCTCCTTTCAAACCAGGCTCCATCTACCCATAGCTATGTGTCCTTACGTAAGTCGCTTACTGGAACATGGAGCTACAACCCATTTGGTTGTTGAGGATTAAATTAAATCACACATGCACAGTGTTAAGTGCAGTGTCTGGCACACAGTGCATGATTACTAAATATCAGGGACTTCCGAGTCACCCTCATGTCCTTCACAGGGTTGTCAGAACCGTAAGGTAAGAAGAACATGGTATAATGCCAAACCTTGCAAATGCTTGTTATAGTAACAGTAAGTCCTGGTTTGGGCACCGTTTTAAATGCTTCTGTTACCATATGGTGTCTGCCCTTCAAAATATCTGGGAGAAACTTGAAAATCTACCCAGCGTGGCGATCTCAACTTACACTATCATTTCCACGCCACAGACTACAGATTGGCCTGCCCCTGAGTCCCCAGCTCTGGGGAGCCAGGCAGATGATGAGAGTAAGTGAAGCAGACAAGAGGTTAGGGGAAAGGCCTTCTTCGCTTTCTCACCTGTGAGAGAGGAAAAGAGAGAGGAACGTTTCCCTACAGTAACGATAGAAAATCATACAAGTGTGGCAATAAACGGCAGTGGACACTGGCCCCGGATCAGGGAACCCCAGGGACAATGGGACGTGACGACTGGAGAACATTAACCTGATCTCATGGACACAACACCTCTGGGCTCTAGTCCACAGCTGCCATGCTGAACGCAGGCCGAGCCTCGCCCTGGTTCAAAGAAGCAGGACATCTGGATTTGCATGCAAAATCCACCCCCAATTTAAAAGCTGATTTACAATGTTCAGAAAACCCTTGTGTGGGCAAAACCAATGGTTCCCACATGGCTGGATCTGGCCCCAGGACGCTTGACGTTTCTTGCAGATTCTGCCAGGCACAGTCAGCTCCTCCCAACACTGAGACAAGAGGCTTCTGTTCCAAAGCGCCAAGGAGCGGACGTGAGGCGTCTCCCCGTGACCTGCTTCTCACAGGAAAGGGTGATGCCAGCAGCCCCACCAGGTGTCGGACAGGCTTTGACATTGTTTTCTAATAAACCATCTGGGAGAGAAACGGCTGTCCTTTTTCAAAGACGTGCCACAAATCCTGCCAATGAAGGCTCGCTCCTGATTTGGCAAAGGGGAACATTTTTAGGTCCGGTAACTCAACCTGCATGGAAGGTGCAATTCAATCTTCCAAGCACTTGTGTGTGCTTTTCAGCAGTGGCGAAACCTGGACGACATTCACCGTGAAACAAAGGAGTTGACTGTAGTCCTTTGTGCTGGAGAAACAGCAGGGAGGCGCGTATCGACCAGCGTTGTGCCTCCAGCAATGGCGTCACAGGCGTGTCCTCTGTCTACTGCTGCTGGGGGAGCGTGAAGAGCCCGCACTCCAGCCCACTGAGGATAGGGACTGAAACTTAAGAATTAGCCCCTTGAATCCAAATCCAGCCAGGCTCTGTGCAACTTGGCTGTGTTGCCAACGCAGGAAGGCTTGGGTCGCCTATGAAAATATCTTAAATCAGCAGAAAAGGGTTGTAGTTTCATTGCTCATATAATTAGTGGGGCAGCCAGGTCAATCTGTTGTCCTTCACTCATTTAGGGATCTAAATATGTGCACTGCTGATCCATTAGTTGACCAAAAGGAAGAAACTTTCACATGAGCCCCTATATCCATGACTGCAGACAACCCTGTTGTGAACTAGGAAACTGCTTTACGACAGTTCCTCTCTCTGGAACTGTCTCTGGAAAGGGGCGGTCTCTAGAAAAGCCTGGAAAAAGTGATCCCAGAGAGCGCTGAAAATACATACATAGTTGGTTACATCCTCATTTGCTTTTAACGAGGAAGTCTCACAATTACGTTGTTTTATTGGAAAAACTTCCATCAACTTTAATGGAAGCCCCCTCCTTACTCCCATACAAGTCACTTCATTGATTAAAGAACGCCTTCTGTTTGTGGCAGCTTGTTTTATATAGTTCTCGAAAAACACAATCCGAATAAGCATCCTCACAAGCATTCCGCCAACGGAATAAAACCACAGTTTCCGTTCAAAGTGAAGGGTTAGATTAGAAACAGCTGGGGCGAATACTAGAAAATTCTAGCACTCATTTGGCCAGGGCCGCCTCATCGCGAATTTCCCCAGCTTTCTTCACTTTTGTAAAACATTCCTAATCCATCCATTTGTCAGTCCACAAGCATGGAGGAAGTTCGGCCACCTGAGGCGCTGTGGGGACAAAGCCATAGGCTCCAGTCTCTGAGGAGTTGAAACAGGAAACGGGCTTTCAGTCACTTATTCCTCACTCATGAGCATTTGTGACCCGCCTCCTCTGTTACAGGAGCTGTGCCCAGGGCTAGAAGCATGCCTACATTGCATCCTTCACCTCAAGCAGCAGAGGGGACGCAGAAGGGATGACAGGAGACGTGTACAAGGTTCAGGGGCTACACAGAGGGGTGTGCAGCTCTCTCTGGAGAGCCAAGGAGCGCGTGCCAGAGGAGGCCCATGTTGAAGCAGGTGGCTGTCCACACGTGGACTCAAACACATTGCTCACGGGAAACATAAATGATGAAAGACATCGCACANATATATATATATATATATATATATATATATATATATATATATATATATATATATATACACACACATATACACACACTCAGTTATTTCAGGAGGATCACGAATATTCCTGGTGACAACATTGATCAACTTTAAAAATGATTTGCATTTCGAAAATCGAATAATCCTGAATATGCACAGATGTTTTAAATATTAAATAAATAGCCATCACGTTTGGGAGTCACATTTGAGAGAGCAAATTATTTTATAACAATTATTTTAGAAGAACACTTGTAGACCCATTTTGAAATTTTATCTGGTAGGGCACATGTAAAGTTTAAATATATGCTACGAGGTATCAGCTCTGCAGGAACTGGTTTCATGGACCCCAAGGACCACCATGAGTAAGATAAGCTGGGAGAGCTCTCGGCAGCCCCTGTCTGGCAGCAGCGTTTTGTAGAAGCTGAAATCTGGAACTAGAGGACCATTTTCCAGAATGCCTAGTAGCTTGGAAGTCCTGATTCCCTGAGGGTTTCCCCAGTGCTGCTGCCCGCCTTGGGAGCTTACTGGGAAGGGCAGGATTAGGCCTAAGTCGCCTGGAAAGGACCAGCAACTGCAGCCAAGGAATTGGGCAGCCCAAACCGAGGGTGGACAGCTGCTTCGAAGGGCCCGCTGGCCCCTAACCCCTAAGCCTAAGCACTCAGGGGCTGAATGAAGTACAGGACCTGCGCTGCTTCTCCGGGACTAGGCCAAACCGATGGGTATCAGAGAAGTGACACCTTTCCTCTTATGAAGCAACCTAGACCCCGAAATGCTGATTCCCAGTGGAATGAGTCTTTTGCACGTTCCCCAGGCTCCATATATGGAAAAAACTGAGTATTTTTTATGTAATTTCATGTAGCAATCAGAAAGAACACGTTTACCATTCTCCTCCCACCCTTTATTTCTAATTCTTAGAATTATAACAAACATATAAAGTATTTATTTATAAAATGGAGTATGAGAAAGGAGCAGCTGAAATTTGGGCCTAGGGGTGAGTTTGAGAAAAAACGTTGATGCCCCGTGTGCATGCAAAGCACATGGGCACTAGCCCCACGACCACTATGAATACTGATTACGGATTGCTTACTTTGTCCCAGGAACTAAGTAAATTATGTCTAGTATCTGACTGCAGCTCACAATCACCACATAAGGCAGATACTATTATTATCTCCAATTTACAGAAAAGGAACCTGAATAAAGGGGGTGGGGTAATTTGCCCAAGGATAGTCGGCAGTGGACCTGGGATGATCACCCAGAAAATCTGAGCCCCCACTCCATGCGCATAACTGTTATTCTGTGCCAGTGGATTCTCTTACATGGGTTAGGATCAGAGCCACCTGGGGAACTTGGTTACAAGTGCACAGGCCCAGTGCCTACCCTTCCTCAAGGAGCCTGGGCATCTGCGGTCTCATTAGCAGCTTTCTGGGCGATTTTGATTCCCACCAAAATATGACACCCACTCTTCCATCGTTCTAACCCCCTCCCAGGTGTTGACATTTAAGCCTTCTTTAAATTATAGGATGAGATGTTACAGGTGGCGTGTCAGGCGGCTGGGGAACCTTAAACGCAGAATGACTGTCCGCCATGTTTTCATCTTTATGTTTTGTTTTGTTTTTTGCCACCATCACTTCTCCTCATTCTCCGAGGGAGCATTCCATCCTGACATGTCCAAGAGGCTCAAAAGGGTAAGTCTGCTCCTGCCCAAGTCGTCATCCAGCTCTCCCAACACCAAGGGGATTTCTGGCTCAGAGGGAGCCCAGGGCCACTCACATGTTTTCATGGACGGCTTTCATGGCTTTGGCTGCAAAACCCATGTTCCTCAGCACCTCGGTGTTGGTGTGCGAGTTCTCCAGAGCCTCTCTCTGGAACTCGATGGTGGACAGCGTGCCGTCAATCTGGGTGAGCTGCTTCTCAAACCTCTTCTTTCTCTTGAGTGCCTGCAATGCAGCTAAATAAGGGAGAAGCCACGTTTATAAGGACACAGCCCAGTCACTTACTCGGGGGACATTTGCTCAGCACCAACCAGGGACTCAGCATTGTTGACACCTACAGACAAAGAGGAGACCAGGTAACGCTGAGATACTCAAGAGTAAGCCCTGTCTTCCCATCACTTGCAACAGTTATCACTCCCGCAACCCTTGTTATCCTTGTCATCCGAAGACCCGGATGAAAGTGTCAGAGGGTGAAAAGTCAACTTTCATACTCCATAGAATGTACCACAGAACTGTTTCTGTCAGCACTGGCTTTAAAAAAAAAAAAAAGATAGATATATAAAAATAGGAGTAAAACTCATGCAATAGAAAAATAAAACTTTAGAGGAAGGAAGAACTTTAATGACTGTTTACTGTAAACCCGTTTCCTTGTCTCAAAGACAAGTTAATTGAGACCCAGGCAAGATGTGTGGCTTGGTGGAAGATACACAGTGAGTGGCAATGGATGCTGGATTCCTTGGGTCTATCCTTCAGTCTATTAATGTATCTCTTTTTTGTTCTGCGTTCTTGGGGAATTCCTTCACTTTATATTCCAGATCACGAAGCGGTCTTCAGCTGTAGTTATTCTACTGTTTTACCCTTTTATTTACTTATTTTTAATTATTCTTTCAATTTCTAAGAACTTTTTCTTCTACCTGTTCATTTATATGGCAGCTCACTCTTGTCTTATAACGCACTAGCCTCTGGAATCTCCCTGAAGATACTAACCCCAGTTCTGTTTCTAACATTTTTAAAAATTTCTTCCATGATTTCTCTTCTCTTGGGTTCAGATGGTTGCTTTGCTTATCTTGATCTTCCTCTTGCAGGCAATCGCCTTTCCTCGAAATTCTTCTGATTTTTCTGGGTTCATACGTATAACGTAAAGGCTAGAATAGTCAGTATAAGCTGATGTGCCTCTGGTAGTTACGTAAGTGTGTCTGTCTCTGGGGCCGCTCTCTTGAAAGGGAAGGCTGTGCGAAGCTCCGTAGAGGACATGGGTGGGGCACCCAACAGGCAGGCTTCCGTCAGTGGGTAGGCAGCAAGTAGAAAGGCTGGGGTTACCACAGTTGCCAAAGAAAGGCTTTCATTTGGGTGTGGGCTGTTTGTCTATATTTCCCTTTAGAGTGGTCACTTTTCTTCCCCGCCCTGTGGACTGCGGAGATCCGGGGCTCCCTCGGGCTCTGTTCTGCTTCTCTCTCCCGATGCAGCACCACAGTGTAAGTGCTTGCTGAACAGTACTTACCCTTAATATAGAACAGTTTCTATTTGTTTAACCTTTCCTTCAGAAAAGAGCCAGAACATTTTTTTTAAGTCATCTAGCATCAAGGTCTACTCACAAAACCACTCTGTAGAGAGGCTTTCCGCATCAGAGCCGTGTGAGGGCTTCCTCCCTCCACAGGGAGGATGGCCAGTCCACCCCCCCGCCCCCCGCCCACCGCTGACACCCTGTCTGTGGACCCCCAGCTGCTGCTGCATTTATCACACTGTCTTATAATGACTCGTAAAATCAGTTCCACCCGCCTCCCCTCTGAGGAAAGATTCTCTTCTCCTGTTCCCCTGGTATCTAGCACATGGCCAACAAAACACGAGCATATAACAAAAACAAACATTCGTTATTTGCTATATGCCAAGCTTGTGCAAATGCTTTGTGTGTTTTATGTGATGTGTGGCATTAACTCCACAAAAACTCTAAGAGTAGATACTATTATTGGCCTATCTTACAGAAGACGAAATGAACGAGTATTAAATGAATAAATTTGGTAGTCTCATGCACCCGGTTGAATGACAGCATGATATAATAGAAAACGTATGGCCTCCACCGCCAGTGTGTGAATCCTTCCTCCATGACTTGGTAGGTGTGTGCTCTTGGATAAGTCTCTTCACTTCCTTGAGCTTCAGTTTGCTCTTCTGGAAATGGGGTCATAAGC